ATTGACTGCCATGATTTGGTGATTGTCGCCGCAAATCTACAAAAGCTCATCGACCTCGCTGAACAGAAGAGTGAAAAACGATCGGTGACATTTGCGCTGAACTCGGGTGTCGCCCCGAATGAGGTGAGCCACTTAAACATAATGTTTTCAAGTAATATACTGCGAACTGCATACCTTTTATTACCTAGTTCTTATACTTTTGTCTTTTTCTGCTTTGAGACGGCCTTGAGGATCACCAGGTCGCTTCGCTTCAATTTTCCGTGTAAGAGGTACTCATTTTGATACAGAGTCTGTCATAGCCTCTCCTTATACTGGGTTATAGCCTCTACCTGTACCCATACTCTAAGCGTGGGTCAACCGTTAATTCTAATTTCACTCATGATCATTACTTCTACGTTCTAGAGGTTTCCTATTCCCACAGTAGCTACTAGTGTGATACTTTTCCTTAGTAGTTAGCGGAGATAATGTTCAAATGCTGTCAGAATGTGTACAGTGCCAGATAATCTCGCCCACATGTTCATCTCAGCTTCTGCGAACAGATTTTCAACGGATATTTTGCAGGCTTTTCATTTCAGATCCCTGATGAGCGGACGCTGACGGGTTTCGCGCAAATATCATTAATTGACTGAGTTCTACGATTGATCTACACTATATTGTCACTTGAACTTCATTCAACTGCTCTACTAGATTCCAGTACAATAATGGCCGTCCCGTCTGAATATCGAAACTCAGATATCGGTGCGGCATATATCATTCATTCGGTGTTTTTTCTGTTCAGCTGATTGTGATTGTTTTTTGTTTGTATTTTGCAGCAGTAGCTTTACGCTCTTTAACGCCAGACGTTACGCTCTCTCCCCTTCTGTATCCTCGCTATCTCTTCCACGAACGTCGTCACCCCTGAACTTTCATTTAGATTTCCTTTTGACATCGTCTTCTACATTATCATCATTATTGTGTTCAAGTTTTCACGTCATGAAAGTGCTCTTGTCCAGAGAAAAATGTGGTTTGATATGGCCGGTCACTAGATTGATTCATAGTTATTTATACAATTTAGGGTTCATATTAATTCATTATTATCTTTTATATGGCATTGATTGACGTGCTGTAAGGATATTTGCGACGTCATAGTCCACGCATAAGCTTCACCGCCGTGCGCATGCTTTGTGACATTTCAGGCGGACTTTTTCCTTCTTGAAGTCGGCACGCTTATATTGTCTTATTTTAAGCGTTTGAATTGGTAATCACTTGAAGCAGTATCCAGGCCCGGAAGTTCTAGATTGTAGTATGGTTGGGGAGCCACGCCCATTTTGGTGGGAGCTCCGCCCATTTTGGGAAACATCCAGATCAATTAAGCCTGGACATCGCTTATGCGGTTGAAATTCATTTGCTGTACTCGTTCATTTTACTGACTAAAATTCTCAGTAGCAACTTCTCAACACATGTGTTCTCCATAGAAGTTGTGTAATTGTGGGTTTTCACTTGCTCACCTTAGACAATTCCCCACGTTTTTCCTTAATTCATTGCGATTTTTTCAAATTTCTCAATGCGACGAAGACGTAAGCAGCGCTTTGGGTGTTAGTCGTCGATGGATCGCGCTTATTGTATGAACTCGCTTAGCAGCGCGCAAACCTAGTAAAGTGAACCCAAACTTTATCGCTTGCGTAAAGTCGCTTTTTGTCGCCCGTGCTCTCTAGCTCTCTCCTCAATTTCCTATCAATCATCTCGTTCTCTCTTTTCTCTCATTCGTTCTCCTTCTCTCCCCCTAACATATTCGCTTGCAACGAATTCGCTCAGCACGTACCCAGCACACGTATTCTTTTTATATTCCGAATGAAAATTCAATTCATATAGATTATGTGTGTGCGTGTGTTCACATCATGTTGGGTTCTCTTCAAATGTTCTGTAAGTTATATGCAATGTTTATTAAAGAATTTTATGGTCTACTCGTGTTTGGAAATGTGTATTACTGATTTTGTTGCTCGTTCAGGTGGTCGTACTTGAATATTTGCTCGACTGCTAACTTTTCATTTTTTACCGCATGCGTTTATTTGACTTATTTTTGCGGTTTTCTGTAAAACAGTTTTATGGTGGAAATTGTTTTAAGATAAACCTGGTACAAAAGTCACATTGATTTCCCCGGGCCACTGAAGTAATTTTTTCCGCTCATTTTCTCAATACGGCTCACCAAATTTTGCCCATAGCGGTAAGCTATTGATTATCACAATATATTAATATTGCCCTGTATAGGCTTTTGGATTTGAAGTTGTGTGTAATCCTGCTATCTCAAATGTAGTCAGATGATCTTTGGCATGCAACTGAGGTGGTTCTTGAAAATCTCGTCCGCGATTGGACGAGTCTGTGCGGACTTCATCGAATGGGGCTCATTATTGTCTAGTTAAGGTGAAGGAATGCCGTTGTCCTATTTCGTCATTAAGTTGTCATTAACGAATGTCTTGAATACTATCTTCTAACTATTACTGAATTCTTTTTGCTTTAAGTGCACGGCTATATTTTAATAACCACCTTTAGCCTGCTTTACAATTTATCTGTCAGAAGTGTGCAGTAATTCGGTTCTACTCACATGCGATTTTCCACGGGTACGTAGCGTTAGGTAGCGCAAAACTTTCCGTTAGGTATTTATTAAAAGTTCGTGTCACTCGTTTCACGAATTTGACGTTCACCACCACGACTATTGCAAAATATTATCGAATTCCTAATAAGCACGAACTCCGGTTATTTGGCACATTCTGCAAGTTCCGAATGTAACTTACGTGTTTCTGTAGTGTTTAGGTTTATCGCTATTCCGACGATTTCGTTGTTCTCCTTGGCTTCCAATGTTATTGGTCGTGAGTTACCTGGGTTACCTGGGGGACGGTCAAGTCGTGCGTCCGAGGGTGCGCGCGGCGAAACCCATACCTATTCTGGCGACTTTAGCGCCTATTATTTGGGCCCAATTTCAAAGTACAGTAGAATAGTATAGGATCAGCTGACCTTACTAATCTACCCTTACTTCAGATTTGGGCCCCAATGATAGGCGATGGAGTCGTCCAAATTCGCCACGAACTTCGCCGCGCAATTTGCCGCGCGCACCCTCGGACGCACGACTTGACACACACCCGGGTTACCTGCATGACAAATGCTTTTGCCATTATCGAAAGTGCCACAATACGAATGCGAGCGACGAATGCTCTAAATTACTGAGGGTTGCACTTGTTATTCCATACCAGTAAATAATGCCCTATCATATTACTATTGAAAAGGTTATATTGCTATGATTCCACGTGGGTAGTGATATTTTTGGGTGGGATTATTTTTTAGGTGGGTCGAAAAGCGAAAAAATTCGCTCAGCTTGTCAACGAGCCTCTTGGCCAGCAACCCTGATTGAAGATGGTAGTTAAAACAGCTTTTAGGAAATATAGGTCCATATAGCAATGTACCAAGGCTGAATTACAAGTTTTTCTTCAGGTGATAGTTCGCATCAAGGTAAAAGACGACATTTCCACTTTCTATATCAGATCTTGTTCGTGCTAACATATCCTCCGTTTCCCGGCGGCCCTCATTGCTGGTTTTTAAGTTACTCAGAGTTTTAACTTGCTCAGAAGGGTCTAGAAGCTGGCAGAAAATGGCTGGGCTGGTCATCAAATGAGCGGAGTGCTCATTCTAGTAGTGCTACGATAATAAGTGTAATTACCTAGGTAAAATGTGGGATGTATTTGACACTTGTAACATCATTTAGGTATGTCGCAAGCAACAATGTACGTCTCTACGTTCTAGCGCCAGCATTATACAACCATAGCCACTTGGCGAGGCTGTCCCTTGCAGACGCGCAATTTGAACCGGTGAAAGTGGGAGTGGCAGCAGCGCTCACTTGCCGTGCGCCATGAAAAGCCGACCGTCGCAGAATTGCTTTGGGCCCATAAAGAACTAATGGGTTTAGGCATACTATATTGTATAGTGTATAAATAATATTATTTATTATGCTGATTTGCAATATGGGTATCGTATGGCTCCTATTAACTGATTGACTGAAATCTCGAACTTGGTTGAATTCGTCTGCTATTACTTTTTAACCATCTCTCGGATGCCTCTCAGGAATAGTGTTGGGTGTTCCAATTTTGGTATACGCCGTGTATCTTCTGCTCCCTGTAAAGGGTTGTACAGATGGTTTGATTGGTAGGTTGTGTATGGAATGCATTATAAGGGCGAACAAAGGGATATCTTCGTCCTTGCACTGAAATTAAGGGGAGGGGGAAGTAGTAGCATACTTGTGGTGTAATTGTTACGTAAGCCGTTTGAAATGCCCAAATCGGGGCTTGAATTTTGACTGGGCGATAAAAATGAGTCGCTTGTGAATAGGGAACCTTGTGATTGAGTGGGAAGCTTAAGAGAGGTTATCTGAGAATGAGAAGGCATTTGCGAGCTACCAAGTCTGGCTCTTTTCGGGGTTACCATTTATAGTATACACTTCGTCACTATTGCTGGGAAAACTTTACAAATGATTATTTATTCATATAATTACACATGTGTTCTGATCCATGCATATAGGAAGGCTTTTTATTATCACAGATGAAAAGACCCTTAATTTTCAAATGGTCCCTTATTCCTGACGATCATCCATACTGTTCCCGTTTCTTGTTGCGTTCTCGGAACAAATCACATTGATCGACTATTCGTTGAATAAGGTCAGTAGTAGAGATGTTTTCAGTTCTGAAAAGTTGTAGTCGAGTAAGAGTCGTATGAAAGTGGAGACGATTTAGTGGTTAGGAGGCGTCACTGTTAATGCTTGGGCGGTCGGATCGAATTCGGGTCTTCAGACTATTGTTTTTTTATGAGCTAGCGTTTTATGTAACTGTCTGGGAGAGTGAAATAATCAGTTCCACACTGGCTACCCTCTTATGCCATTGCTGAATCCGAAGGATGTGATGTTCCAGGAGTGATCCCAGAGAGCTCGAGCGACAACTTTACCTTCCAGGGAGTTTCGAACGTAGTGGGTTTGCAACTCACCGCTGTGTAGTGAGAAAACGGTCGAGTTTTTTGAAGGGTTTATAGCAGTCATCGCTATCCGGACATACGTAAGGAATGTCATCATGAGCGATCAGATCAGCCTGAAAATGACTCAAGCTAAAGATGTAGTTGCCTTCCAGTACTGGGTTTCTTCCGAAAAATAGGTTACAATTACGCATGCCCAAAATTGAGTACTGTATTTGAGTACTACACCTACACTTGTGTAGGTGCCTTATATAACATAACTTTGGGTTTTGAGGCTCCAAAGAAAACTATGCGGTCCTAGTAGATAGCCTAGGCTGTGCTACAGTATGAGGTGAAAGAGGGTGTAGAGCGAGACACACTATGTCTTCCACAAAACCCTTTTCCTGTGAGAACCCTGCCAGCATCCCGCTCTTGGAAATCCTCTTGCTGGTGTTGCGCTTAAGAGCTTTTCCCCCGTCAATCCATCAGCACCTTTCCTACTTTCCTACGAATATGGGCACTCTACTGAAATTACAATTATTTACCTGCAATTCATCAAGCAGTTCAACTGTTGGATAGAACATCCCATGGTCGATAACGTAATCCACATATTTGCATTCTGCCACGGAAGCAAATCGTTCTTCGTAGGACATCACCAGTGGCCCACCCTTATACTTACGAACCAATTCATCACTGCATACTGTAATTGTTGTTTGTATCTGATAAGTATCGATTACGTTATCATGACAGGAAAGAGCTCACTTCCAGCAGTCACTATGACGTCGGGGAATGCTTCTTTCACTTGACGTAGTTGTCGGACATGACCATAGTGGAACATATCAAACACACCCTCAGTGAATATATGAATCGGTCGGTCCTTCGGAACTGAAAGCAGATGGAATCTGGGACACAGTCGTATTTGGGAAACATTTGAATTGGCTAAATAACGGGATGGGGCGAGTTTGTCTCATGCTAAGACTAACGACCCAGAGCCAATGTTTGTAGGAGTTTGCCTCCATATCAGAACCTTCAGAAGATGAGCAGATTAGTCAGCCCCAGCTCTGACCGGTTACTTAGGTGAAGACAATTCCATACACATCTCTTAGAGGAAACTTTCTCTGGCTAGTATTTCCAGAATCAGGGGAAGGGCAGGGGTCTTGTTAGCCGACTCTGTCCTTTAGGCATTTATTGTCCACCGTTCAGCCGCACATAAGCGGGACGTGGCTCTTGCCCTGCGTCTTATGATTTCCTTGACGTTCCACTCACGCTCGCTTTACTGCCCGACCGTGCCGTCATTATGACGTCAAAGTGGATGCGCCGTGCAGGCACGCCCGCGGATTTTTCGACGCAGATGGAAGGACAGAGCGTACTATCCCTTTTCTGGTTAGTGTGCTTCATTTTTGTGGCAGAACGCCTTCAGAAGAGTTAGTGTTAGATAGAATTCATGCGTGAACTTGTGACATTTCAATTCAAGACTTACCGTCACCGTCGCGAAGTTGACTCAAAGTGTACGGTACGAATGTCGGTTCCCCACCGGCCATGGTGCTGGAATTTGTGAATATGGTGTATGGGATGATACCGAAGAGACGGAATGAGAGATAGTGATAAAGTCAGAGATGGGAGATAAGGAGGGAAAGCAACAAAACATTGAGTCAGAGCAAGTTACAGCAGAACAGCTTCCAATTTTTTTTTCAGCGCCGACAGTGGTTAGCCGGCTGACCTCGCTGTACCTCATTGTGAGTAGTAGTAAGCCATGGCTGAAAGTAGTTAGGGAAAGGGCAAGCGGAACCTCGTTTGTGCGAGGGATAAAGAGAACAGGTGCGGGTTCAAGTCCCGCTAGAGGACGGAGTTTTGCTCGGAACTGGTCAATCTTGTGAGTATGGGACGGATCTGGAGGAGTCGGATTATTGTCATGCCATTAAGAATTGATGTTATAAGTTAGAGGAGGAGATGGAGAGTTAATTTTATGAAGAGCTCCTTTGACAATGAACGTTTCCACCCGTTTCTGTGCACCCTGTCCCTTCTTTTCCCTGTCTACATCTTCCGGATCTGACGGTCCCGCTGAGTAGTGCAAGTAGTTTAAAAAAGGAGACATTTGAAGGGAATACTCGAGGCAGTGGGTGGAAAAGCTTCCGCGGGAACGAATACTTTCAATGGCAAGTTTGGCCGTTCAGTGCCCTCGTGGGCCACACGCCCTACGTGAGAGGAAGTTTTGAATCAAAGAGGTCTTGATCAAGCAAATCTTCTCGCTGAGGGTCAATCTGGGGTGAGATGGAGAGCCTCAAATAAAAAAACTGCGATTCTCCCGGGAAACGTAAACTGGTCTATCCAAGTACTGTGAAGTTGAAATACGGATCAGTAATATTCACAGTTCATAAAGAAAATCGAATGCATGGCGCATCTCAAAAAGGGCACTCAACTCCAACACCTAGTGATTTTCTCCGATACACTGTAATGGGTTTTCCTCTCCAATGAATTCTTAGCTGAAAAGCTTCGAATAAAAAATTTCTGAAAAATAGACAAAAATGAAATATGCGAAAATATGGTCAACGGGGTGGTGAAGCACGGGGAATAAAATGGCCAGTGAAAGAGAAACAGGCGAGTGACATCACATGTGGTCCTGACGGACGTGGAAGAAAAGCTTAATCACCTCCATAAAGCGGCACAGTATGCCATGCAGATGATAAGATAAGGGCGATGCGTGATTATTTCAATACGGAAATCCGTACACGATTTGATACAAAAAAGTTGGAGGGCTATTTATATTTACGCTACACATACTTGTTGTAGGGAGTGCACCGGGTCTGAAAATCCCAGTGAACTTCATTTCTATTCTTAGCTTTGCCACCAATGAATTCCTACTCCGATCGTCTCTTTTTTTTTTTGAAATGTCCCTGTGAATAGATATGTTCACAGTAGAGGGGAACCTCTACAGCTTCAGTCAAAACCGTTTTCGAGATGCGGCCCTGTGCCCGACTTTCATTTGGAATCGTAGTGGCGGGTTGAATGCGTTCGAGGCTTATACAACGAGTTGCGGTGGCTAACATATGTACAAGTCAGTGCTTCTACTCTCCTAAACAAATCTTATACCTAATGGCCGGTCCTTGAGAAACATAATTGCGGTGACCACACGTTTACCATTGAAACTATTCCGCCTTAGCTTTTGAACATACTTTTTCTTGGGAACAACAAAAAGAGCGGAATCTTCGGTTGAATTTACGTTCGACGTGACGAAAATCCAAGTCTAACCCCTTTGTCTTTCCGACCATGTTAGACAGAGGAAACTCAAAGGGGGTTGTTTCAAGAAAACTGAACTTTTCAAACGAAATTCGAATCGTGAGTATTAGCAGCAGCTTCAGTGGCATCTACATTGTAATTTAAACTTCACTCGCTCGGGAGTGATACCCTTGGGGTTGTACGAGAGCAGTTTTCGAGTTACTCTTTCATTTCGTATTTATATCTTGTATTTGGAAAAAAAAAGAAAGCCTAGATATGTGGAATAAAAGTAGGCGTGAACAGGCACAAGACTGCCAAGGGAAATGCTTTTTTGGAATGTCCTGTTTTGCAGTTAGGCAGTTTCGTTGATATATTGGCTTTTTTAAAGGAGTCATAAAACATATTTGGGTGTACTGATAGGACAGTGCCATGAAGGCCGAGGGAAAAAAAAATGCAACATTGCAATGTTTGCTCTTTTGGAGTCAACGCCAAAGATTAATCACCAAGGTGACGGAAGCAAACATGCTGTACGCTGGCAACACCAACATGACCATTACGTGAACGGGACTCTACTTTTTTGGAATTCCTTCAGCAGTTCCTCAATTCTTGGTAGGAGATTGGATGCGACATATGAATGGTAAACTAATTGTAAGCCACTTGCGTGAAGATAAACCAACAGAACAAATCTGTTATTATCCCTATAATAATTAAAATATATATTTAACATTGTTCTATTTGAATTTGTAATGTAATGATGTGGGGGGTGGTGTAGCGGTAAGTAGCGCAGTACTACACATGCATAGTCACTGGTTCGAATCCCATATCCGTCTAGGTCAACCAAGCCTTCTATCCCTTCGGGGTCAGTAAATTTGGTACCAGACTCGTCTGGGAGGATAAAAACACTGACTTATACAGCGGCTGACCACCGCAAGTCATTGTATAGGACACATAGGCATTCAATACGCCACTACGATTCTGTATCGAAGTCGGTTGCGGTAGCGCCTCAGTCAGATGGGATTGTTTGACACCGAAAGACTTTTTCTTTTATGATCATTCTTGGAGGCATCCTTGTGCCTTAACTGCTAGTAATAACTTTCAATTACGCCAAATTGCGCCATAATTTTCCTCTAGGCAATCTATTAATTTGGTTCAAATTCCAATTTTTGGCTCAAGTTCAATGGGAAGCGCTCTAATGAAGGAGCACTCTGGGGACACACTCCGGTGGACTCCTTTTTGTGGTCCGTCTCGCGGTTGCGGTAGACTAAAGGATTTACCTCAGACTCCAAACTTTCGATTAGATGCTATGAATCCATTCACAAGACCGCTTTTGTTTTTGGGTAAAAGTAGTTTCGGTATTATTAAATAGTGAGAAAAATTCGGAGCTTCATTTATAGACTCGGCAGTACATTTAAACAAAAGAAAAAGATTCTAATCTTATTGAAAAATGGATATTTATAGTCAGGAAGCGTTCCATTTAGGAAACATTAATATTTTAGGTTTACAAAAAATCATCGAAGCTCTCTAGTCAAACATACTTTATCAGATTTTTCCTCTACGGTTTTCAGAAACCTAAAAAGGGGATCATGCAGGGGTCAGAGATGTAGCCCTTATCGATACGATGCAATCAAACTTTCATTCTTCTGAATTAACTAATTTTGGGCTAATTTTTTTTTATTGAGCAGGGTGGGGTTTAATCTCAAGGTCTAATAAGCGAGATGGCTACTTGAATATAATTAAAATTCCGGATGGAAGGCTGGTTCATGGCTCATTCTGAGAAGGCCGTCGGATACTGAAAGTTTCAACCAATTGCATTTTCTCCGTTGAAGAATTTGAGCAAAAGAGGTTGAGGTTCAGCGTTGAGTAATAACCTTAGTTATCGATTGAAGAAGTTGCACCTGTCTACGTACTTCAAGAATTGATTCGTAATGATTGCCCAGTCACTCCATGAATCAATACAGTTTTACAAAATCGATCGGAACCTTGCATTAATTGATCGCCAGCGTCTACGTGTTTTATCTTAAGGACACGAATGTGGCCTTGTGGGCTGGCTGGTCAGGCAGTTCCCTTGGTGTGCGCTGTTCTGGGTCTCAACAGCGGCTGTGTTCCCTTACACTTCCCACGTACCATGCGGTTCCTCCTTGGCGGACCGAACTTGACGTTCGAAAGGCGTTTTCTTTTCGTTACTCAATTTAAAGGGTTTTACTTGCGATTTTGATCATATTTGCTTATCTTTATCTATTCATTTACGTTGGATTATTTATCTTCTGTATCTTTGATTCTTTCTTTTTTGAATTTATTTTTTAATTAATTTTTTATTTTTTATATTTTTATTAATATTTACTTATTTATATTTGTTCGTTTACGTTGGATGATTTTGTCTTGTTTTTTGAAACCAGTTTGCTGTCTTTTCAGAGCAGTTTCATTTTACAGTAAAAATAACCAATTATATAACATTTGGCCTATTTACTTATTCTTTACTGGGCTAGTCGATTTTTTATCTATTATTTATTTTGTGCTCAACAATTGGTCATCATTACCCTTCCACCTTATCTTTCAGCTCATTATGGGGAATTTCAGAATAAAGTAAAAAGGAATGTTCATAGTCTGTTTTCGTTGTTTTCTTATTTGTTTATTTGTTTTTTGGTTATTTACCCTTTCTATAGGGTCTTCAGAGCTCATACTTTTGTTAGATCGAGAAAGTTGAATTTTTCCTCTCCTATGAACTAGAGAGTTTGCTTAGTTCTTGTCAAATTTTCTTTATTAAGCCGTGCGTTTCGTTTCTTTTCGTTATTGAACGGCTGTTCAGAGACATTTTTGCCCTTTTGACCTTTTTAATGGATTACAAGGGTCAACAACTGTGCAATTCAGTGGCTGATCCTCATAGACATGTAGAATATTATTTAATCAATTTAAGAATTCGGTTGCTTTTGAATTCTACTTCTTGTGGAATATATAAGGATTGGTTTTGGAATATATCAGGAGTGGTTTAGCATCTTTAACACCTTCTATTAAAATCTGCTCAGAATTTTTAATTAAACAAGCTATTAATACAATGATTAGCATTACGATGTTGATAGATTTAATAATTAGTCTTTAAACAATTTTGTGCGAAAGTTCAAAAATAGCAATTAGTCAACGTTTTAATAAGTTCAGTAACCAGTAATCATTTATATAAAATATGGAGTAGCTGGAGAAGCACTCTGACTACATGCATAGCCTTAAAACGTTTGTAGGGCCGGATCTATCATAGACTCAAGAGGTTCAGTGGTAGTGTACCTCGACAGATCAGTAGGAACAGTAAGTAAATATTGATAGCTTCATATACACATGCATAGCTACATATGTAGGTGGGGCATACCTTCGACTTTATCTATGTTTTGAAAATCTTCGAGGCACAAATTCGTGGCGTATACCAAAAACAATTTTCATTCACCGTTGATCACCCGATCCCTTGTTGTCTTTTCGCGATTTTTGCCTTCTGACCTATAATTTGTCAATAAAAAGAAAAATATTGAGCTCAAGTTACAGATTTGGTGATGGCGAGACTGCAGGCAAAATTCTTGTTGTTTCTAGTAATATTCCAAGAGATTTTCTGTGTCCATTACTGGAAGCTCAGCGATGACAAGAAGAAAATCGAAGCTGTGGTATGCTTTCACATGTTTGCCAAAAATTTCAGTATTTTTGTAGTATTTTTTGAGCATTTACAAGATTTTTTAATTTTTATTCATTGACTCGGATTTTTTGTCCTTCTCTACCCTACCTCCCAAGGCGAACAATGGTTCTTGAGAGTTTTGGGTGAAATTCACCTGCAGATTCGTCAAGCCATTTCCTAGACATGTGGATCGTTTTATGGTAAGCAATTTCCCAGTTATCTCGCGGTAACGCCTCAAAGGCTTGTCATGGGCCCTTATGCGGTAAGTCAGGTCACAGACGTTAGGTCCGATTTCTGGTCGTGCGTCACTGTGGTGATGTTGCATCCCTTTGTTCCGCTAGCTCAGAAATTTCATCACTCATTCGAGTAAATCATATTTCTTCGGAAAGTGAAAATGAATTCCTTGACAGCATCCCGACTTACTGCACTCTACATGGGGCCGACTACTACCGTAATCGTTGGAAAGGATCAAAAAGTGAAGCTAGGAACGGTGTCATATTAGTGACTTAAACATGAATCTCCCGATTCTGGTAGTGCTGAAGGCGTTTTGTGAAGCATGGGTATCTATTGCTGCTTCACTAACAATTCCAACTTATTTCTGTTCCAGCCAGATTCGCCTTATACGCTATCCTATCCAGGATCGTTGGTGGATTTCCTTCGCCAAGTTGACAGTGTAAAGAAGTTTGGAAAAACATATGTCGAACTGAGCAATGTACTTGTGAGTGATTTTACTTTCTGGTTTCTTTTTGGACCTCGTCAACTTCTGCATCGCAAAATCTTCGAAAAAAAAATCTCGAACGGATGGTCACTTTTTTGTTTGGTACCTTTTCCGCTATTTTTCAAAAAAAAAAGACTCAAATATTTAATTGCTGAATTCACAGCAAGACGAAATTCGGAACATTCGGGTAGGCATGCAAAACCACATGTCGTCAATGTCCTTGTCAGTGAGCTCAACGAAGTTATGGGGAACTATTTCTGAAATGGCTTTTTGTGTCTAGGGGATCACTGGGTCAGACAGAAAAGGCTAGTATTCTCTTCTAAAGGCACAATTAATCACGATTGTTCTAAGGTATAGAGTTTTAGACGAATAATGGAAGTGATGGTCCAGAATAGTGCAAAGGTTTCGAAGAAATCGCGAAAATCCGTGTATTCAGAAAAATATTATATCAGGCTTCGAAAAAGTAGTAAAATTAGGGGTTGGACCAGAGTGTGACGACAAAAGTGACCCGGGTGGGGTATTTGAACGAGCTGATTCGAATGCCAATGCGTGCAGCTGGCTAGAGTAAGCTCCCTGCCTTTCGTGTGTGCCGGTGCGAATGGTGCAACTTCTACAGCCTCTACAATGTCGTAAAACTCGTCCACTCTAGGGCGTGTACGTCGGCCAAGCCTTTTCTGGGGGATTTGTTATGTGCTATCTAGCCCGTTTTTTTTTATCAACAGCGACTTTTATGCTATCGTAAGCCGCAGGTCCATCCTATCCTATGGGGAAATCCTTGAAATCATTTTTATCTCAAGCTTTGCTTTTCACAGTCAATTGTCTCCTTTTTGATCACTCGGAAATGATCCGTGAACTAAAATCCTGCTTAAGGTTTTTAGTTCTTTAACGAACAAAAAACCTTTTCAATGAATATCCCCTGGTTGAAAACAATAAAAAAAACAAACAAAATAGCTGTCTCTTTTTAGGGACCAATTAATTTTGTGTCATAGTGAATAAATAGATTAACAAACGAGTATATATATTCAAGAGTGCCACTT